GTGAGGGAAAATGTTAAAAGGAAAAGAGATGTTTACTGTTATTTTCTTTAGAAGTTATCTAGCTTTAGATTTTCTTATATGGAGGATTTTTTTTTTCTCAGGATGACGTAGACAACCCTRGAGGATGAAAAAATTCTACTCAATATTTCTTCTCCATAAAGTGACCTGGTACCAACCCATCTCGTATTCAGGAAATCAGGCCCATGTGGTTTTAGCTGGATCTGCTCTCTTTCAGGAGTAAGATCACCGAAGCATCATCTGTCCTGAATACTACATTTTAACCTGCATCATCAAAGGAATTGCAAGAGATGATAATTTGCTATGTTGATGTTACAAGAAAGGCAACAGTACTTTATTAGGGACAGTAGAACAGAATCAAAGAACAAGAGGATTATAGCATGCTAGATAGGAATTTCTTTTTTGTTTACAAAAGAAGAAAGGGCCTATCTTGTGGTTTAAATTGTAAAGTTTGATTGTGTTTAGAAATGCTCTTATTACAATGATTGTTAAAAGTTAGAAAGAAATTGAACAAAAGAAAATACAGAAATAATTTAGAGAGTCTATTTTTCTTATCTGTACCATAAGTGAAAAGATATTTAAAAGTTCAATCTATAATTTAAAATTTTTAATTATCGTCTTGGTTAAACTGTTGAAATCTTCAGATTCCTTGGGTTTTGTAAATTTTTCTGGTCCTTGAAGATCCTTTTGCTGTCAATAATTCAGTTTTTAATTTCTAATTAAGTTTGCTAATACATAAATAGGCAGGGAGAAAAACTGTGCAGAGAAAGGATGCGTGAAATGGTTGCATTTGTATACTTGGTATGGAATTTCTTTCTTCCTGTTTAATAAATGTGCTCTGCAGCATCAGAAAAAGCTACTGTTTTTCACTAAGAAATATGGGGCTGGGTTGTAAATAATTAGAAGTGAGAGTAAACAGCATTTATTCAAGAAGTGTCTCAAGAAATCTAGATGCAGCTTAAGATGTATGAAATGGCTGGGAGAGTTAAGAAGTGAATATAATGCTGTGCAAGTATTAAAGTCAGCTTTTCTCAATTTTTTTCCTGAGTTTTAAAATATGTAATGATAAATTACAATAAGGAGTAATAACTTCTAGAGAAATGATTACTTGTACCCARTATTTATTGTAACAGAGATCTGTACCTATATTTGTAGAATAAATACCTGGCTCAGTAAGCAGTTTAACTRTTTCAAGCCTTGCATACTCTAGAAACACAAACCAATGATGGAGGACATGACAATTCAGTACCCTATTCCATTTAAAGGTACGCAAGAATTATGAAGCCCTAAGGTACTAAACAATAATTACTCTTTGAAAAGAAATTCAAGGATAAACTGTATCTATGTATATCAAATTAAATAGACCAAATTTAATGATATTTTTGTAAAGAATGAATGCCCAAGRGTGTCCTGTGTTTGCTTTCTTGAACAGCAGAAAACATCTGGACTTTACTCATCTGGAATATTAGGAGAAAAAATGCTGGATGAAAGAGAAAATCAGAGACCAGAAGTTCCAGGCATGTAGCCAATTTTGTATTATAGTCAAAGACTGTGTAGCTGATTCAAAGATTAGTGTGCCTCCAGGATATTTTTCCAAACAGAGACACTGGGGAAATTAGGAGGAATTAGCTGAAGGTGTAAAGTTAGACTGCAGTGTATTACATCTGCATGGACATTCTTTTTCAGAAGCATGGCCTTGAATTATTTTTGTCAAGTGAACCTCTGTATGAAATTAACAGCAGTGCAAGAATTGGATGATGCAGCTCAGTTCACACCTTCAATTAGTTAATTTTAGCTTTACTAAATGTCCTTTTGCAGATGGGTCCAAATTTTTGGTCARTGATATCATAAAGTCATTCCGGAAAGCAAAGAAAAAAAAAGACAACAAACCCAGTTGAAGTGTTCAAGGTTTAGTAGGAAACAAAGTGAAGTCTCTAAAGGTGTTGAAGATTTGACAATATGTGGGTTTTCCCGCTTTATGCATGAAAAATAATTTTTTTTTTTTTTAAAGTGCAAAACCCCACATAATTACTAAGTGTATAAGAATTTATTGCCTCTCAGAGCTTTAGTGCCCTTTGCTATAGGAACTAAAGCACAATATCACAAACACATCAATCAATCACAARCACAATATCACAATCATACATCATTGACTGAGGTGTGGTGTACTCCTATTGTTTCTTCTCCTGGAGTGCTGGATTCACATCCTTACATCACTTCATGCCTACTCCCATTTCATATATTTGTAAGAGTCAGATTCTCTCATCTGCAGCAGTCAGTTCTCGGGGCTCAGTTAATTTAACTCTGAAGAAGTGGCTACAAACAGTCTTTCACTAAGCATGAAAGTATCATTATCAAATAATATTTTTTTCAAGGAAATATGTATGTTTTCTGCTGCCTTGAGCTCTGTCTTTTTTTTTTTTTTTTTTTTTTTTTTTTTTTTTTTTTTTTTTTTTTTTTTTTTTTTTTTTTTTTTTTTTTTTTTTTTTTTTTTTTTTTTTTTTTTTT